CCTTCCACCCACGGGGCTGGGTCTGTAATCAGACAGGGAGGGGGGACTTCCCCACTACTTACTGGGGTGTCACTCTGCCTCCCCTTCCTCTGTAGCTTTCCTCGTGGACCAGGTACTGGGTCATCCTCTCGGGATCCACCCTCCTGTACTACGGAGCCAAGTCCTTGCGGGGCACGGACAGAAAACATGTAAGTCCCATGAAAGGACTTTCCATGCTGGGACTTCATGCAGTATGACCTGCAGAGGAGGGGCGGAGGGAGGCAGGGGAGGTGGCAGGGGTGGGAAGGAACCTCGCCGGGCCCCCCAGCCTTCCTGGGGGAGACGATGCGGGGGAATGGAGGGCGTGGGCCTCCTGGTTACACTGTTGTTCTTCCCCAGTATAAATCCACACCCGGCAAAAAGGTCTCCGTTGTGGGCTGGATGGTGCAGCTTCCTGATGACCCCGAGCACCCCGATATCTTCCAGCTGAATAACCCTGACAAAGGTAGGCAGCGGGCCCGGCACCGGGTGCCCACCATTTCTCTCTACCCTGTTTTCCTCTCCTACTAAATGTATATTTTGAAACAGTAGGAACTTTGGGGGCTGCTGCTTTCCCTTTGCTTTAGGTTGTGATCAGAGGGTCCCCTCACTAGTCCATGAAAAAACTGCTTAGATCGCGGTCAGTGTGTTCAGTGAGCAGTGGGCATGGCATGTGGCTTCAGGAACCCTTTTGTGGCCTCACCTGTGGCTACTGGGGCCCATTACCTTTGGAGCTGTGGCCTCGGGGTCTTGGAATAAATAATATAACGCTGCATGAGGCAGGGACCACGTGGCTGGGAGGGTCTTAGGTCTTGGAAGATTTCAGGGATGCCCCTGACATCACCTGTGCTGTGAGACTCTCACAATATCCTAGTCCAAGGCCAAATCTGAGAAGAGCCTTTTTACAAAAGCCCCAACTTTACCTTGTCTGGCCATCTTCCATTTCCCTCCTGGTTCCACCCCTCCTCCATGACCATGTTGGGTAGAAGGAGAGGTTCTGGGCGCCATCTTGTCCAGGAGCGCTGCCTGCACTGGACATTCAGAATAGGCCACGCTCTGAATGAAACAGAAATCAGAACCACAGTGAGATATCACCTCACACCAGTCAAATGGCTAAAATAAAAAAGACAAGAAATAACAAGTATTGGCAAGGATGTGGAGAAAAGGGAACATTTGTGCACTGCTGATGGGAATGTGAAAGGGTACAGCCACTGTGGAAAACAGTATGGAGGTTCCTCAAAAAATTAGAAATACCATATGATCCAATAATTCCATTACTGGGTATTTACCCAAAGAAAATGAAGACACTAATTCAAAAAGAAATTCACCCCTATGTTTAAAGTTTATTGCATTATTTACAATAGCCAAGATATGGAAGCAACCTAAGTGTCCTTTGATAGATGAATGGATAAAGAAGGTGTCATTTGGGGCGCCTGGGTGGCGCAGTCGGTTAAGCGTCCGACTTCAGCCAGGTCACGATCTCACGGTCCGTGAGTTCGAGCCCCGCGTCGGGCTCTGGGCTGATGGCTCAGAGCCTGGAGCCTGTTTCCGATTCTGTGTCTCCCTCTCTCTCTGCCCCTCCCCCGTTCATGCTCTGTCTCTCTCTGTCCCAAAAATAAATAAACGTTGAAAAAAAAAAAAATTTAAAAAAGAAGGTGTCATTCACACACACACACACACACACACACACACACACACCATAAAAATATCATGCAGCCATAAAAAAGGATGAGATCATGCCATTTGTGACAACATGGATGGACCGAAAGAGTATTATGCTAAGTGAAATAAATCAGACTGAGAAAGACAAATACCATATGATTTCACTCATATGTGGAATCTAGAAGGAAAAAAAGCAGAATCAGAATCAGCAGAAACCTATAAATACAGAGGATGAACTGATGGGTGCCAGAGGGGAGAGAGGGGTAAGGGGTTGTCAAAATGGGTGAAGGGGAGTGGGAGACACAGGCTTCCAGTTACGGAATGAATAAGTCACAGGAATAAAAGCACAACATAAGGAATATAGTCAATGATATTTTAATAGTGTTGTGTGGTGATAGCTAATAACTACACTGTGGTGAGCACAGCATAATGTATAAACTCGTTGAAGCGCTTTGTTGTACAGCTTAAACTAATGTACCATTTTGTGTCAACTATACTCAAAAAAAACAAAAACAAAACAAAAAAACCAGAATGGGCCATGCTAATCTTCCTGGTGGCGCACGTCACATGACAAAACCCTGAAATGCCTGGGTGTTGGGTTCTAGCCAGGCAAAGTCGCTGGGATTATAAAGTCTCCGAGCATCTTCACATCCTCACAGGAATGTTCTAGTGCAAAGTTCATGTACTTAAAAAGCACCTGAGGATCTTGTTAAAATTCAGATTTGGATTCAGCGGATCTGGGGTGGAGGCCAAGTTTCTGTATATCTAACAAGCTCCCAGGTAACAGCTGCTGCAGGAGACAGACCCCACCGTGACTGGCAGGGTTCTAATGTCATTAGCTGGGCAGTAAAGGAGCACCAACCTCAAGGGGCCCAGGGGGCGGAGGAGAGAGGAGCCAAGTTCTCTGCTCCAGGTCTGAGCAACTGAATCCACACACAGTTAGACACACATCAGAGGGCATCCCAGGCTGGTTACCACGGGAATTTCTTCCTCAAGGCCCTGGGCCTGGATTAGAAGAGGTTTCTTGAGGAAGTAAAGGCTGTGTGCCTACATGAGCCTGACTTAAGGACCATATGGCCACAGGGACCACAGGCCACTCTTGGGCCTTAGCCCCCAGGAAAGCACTGTCCCCAAGCAGAGGGCAGTATGACACAGAGGGTGGCCAGGGTCTGTGGATAAATCCAAAGGATCTGTGAACTTGAGTGGGGAAAAAATTACATCTTGGTTTTCTGTGGCCTCTCACGCCTTTATTTATGAGCATTAGACTACGAGAACGTTCACAACATCTGTGATTTTATCTGCAAGAAAAACCACAGATGTTTTCCTATCACATATCATTGCAGATTTCTCAGAGTGGCATTTCTACTCATCTCTCTGGAATTACAGTACCGTGTCAGACCTGCCCCTGGGTCTTGTTATTGGTGGGTTAATAGAGAAACCCAGGTATATCTGTGTCACTCACGTTGTTTGGTAGTTTGATAACTGTATTCCAGTGGTATTGATATCCTTTGTATTTTCTTTTATGCATTTGAAAGCATTATCCTGAGAAGGGGCCCCAGACTTCACCAGAGCCAAATGCACCGTGACCCCCAAAATGGTTAAGAGCCCTGGTCCGGAGAGAGGGCCCAGAGGCACCAGAAGTTCTGCCTCTGCCAGCCCCAAGCTTGCCCTGGGCTGCTCCTGACCTTCCTTGGTTTAGTTAACCTATGTTCACGTTTATCTTCATGCCCTAGCCACGGGCAGACCCTCCCAGGTGCCCTCCCTCTTCCTAACCAATAGTTTCTCTGCCCGTCAGGCAATGTTTACAAGTTCCAGACTGGTTCCCGGTTTCATGCAATACTGTGGCACAAGCATTTGGATGATGCGTGTAAAAGCAACAGGCCTCAGGTAAAGTCACCAAAACCCTGCTTGTCACATGAAATATCCTTTCCCTTGGGACTAAGGGTCCATAGAAAATAAGAGCTCCCTCCTTCCCTCAGGGCCTGTTAGCTCTGCTCCCAGACACCCTCTTTTGAAAAGCCTTTTTCCGTGAGACAGGGCACCGTCTGCTCAGCTTAGGACTAAGCCTGGCTCCAGACCAGAACTTTGAATCTGGTCCCTGTGTCTTTCCCACTAAAGGAAGTGGGAAACATCCATTGGGCACAGTTAGGTGGCAGGGGTGATGTCGCCCCAAGGATCACGATATAGCATCTATTTAGACCATCCCCCTCACAAAAGTTGATTCACGGGAATACTCCAGACTGATGAAAGGGCCTCCCTGCCCCACAGCCCTTAGGAATAATAATACTAGCTAATACTGAGAGCTAACCATGGCCGCTGCTCAATGTATTGGAGCCAGGGGGCCTCTGGTCTGCACCCCGCCCAGGACCAGGCATTATGGGAAATGCTTTACCTGCAGGATTTGACCCAAATCCTTCCAACACTCGTTGAGGTAGGTTCTCTTACTGTCTCCATTTTATGCTGAGGACACTGAGGCTCAGAAAGTGGCAGATACTCGTTTAAGGTCCCACAGTTAGCAAGATCTAACCCTGGTCTGCCTGACACCAAAGTCTATACTCTCTGCCTGAGCTATCCCGCCTCGCACTTCCCAGAGGGCCCCCGGCTTGCTCAGCCTCCTGCAGTTGAACTAAAGGTCTGGAAGCACGGCCTTGACTGTCAGGCTTCTGGGAGGCCTGGCTCCCCAACCCTCAGCACCCGAAGGGGCAGGCTGGGGCTTCCTGCCCCCAGGAGTCAGTGGGCAGCATTTGGCCACTGGTGGCAGGATTGGTACTCCTGCCCGGAGGCCTCCCTCTCCGTGCTCCCCAGGGATCGGCCAGAAGAGGGCACTGGGGAGTGGATGCCTCTCAGTGTGGGGACAGAGCAAGCACCAGAGTGTGGAGTGGGCTGTGGCAGCTTCCGGTGGGTAGCAGCTGGGAGGCACCAGCTCTGAGGTCTGGGGTGGGTTGGGGTCAGCAAAGGCTATTTCACGCCAGGCACTTGGGTCCAGGAGGATGCTGGTGACAGCACAGTTTTCTCGAAAACCAGAAGGAGGTCTCAGTTTGGTCCCCTTCAGGATTTTCATCTGTAATGTGAGATAGAACATATGCGACAAGCTGGTCAGATTATAGATGATGGGAAGCGAGAAAGCAGAATTAGCAGAAAGTTCTCGACAAACTAAAACAGTAGGAAAGACCGACAAGGGGAAAACTTGAGGTACCACTTCGAGGAAAGCTCAAAATAAATTGCATTTGAGTCCCCCAACTCACCTATCTGCCTGCTGGGAATTTGCCCCACTGACACACTCACACATGCGTGTGGGTAAGAATGTTCACTGCAGCATTGTCCTTGATAGAACTGGAAACCTCTGTGACCGTCAGTAAATCCCTATTGTCCACCACCTGATAGCAATTAGAAGGAGGGAATCTGTGTGTGTGGTACCCTGAAAGGGGCTCCAAGACGGAAGTAAAAGGCAAAGTACAGGGGCACCTGGCTGGCTCAGTCCATAGAACAGACTCTTGATCTCAGGGTCATGAGTTCGAGCCCCAGGTGAGGCGTAGAGCTTACGTTAAAAAAAAAAAAAAAATTTAAGCGAAGTGTAAAACATGCAAGGACGATCTTATTTGTATTAAAATACATAAACATATTTATAATATGTATGTTTGTGTCTGCATATAAAATTTCTAAAATGATATACAAGAAACCAGAATTCCGTGGTATCTGGAGTGCTTATGTATATTTTTTTACATTAAACAAAGGGAATTGCTTGTCTCCACGATGGGAAGGCCAGGGTTTTTTTGTTTTGTTTTGTTTTTGGTAGTCACCTGAAGGTGACCCCCAGTGAACAAGGCCTCAGGTCACATGAAGAGAGGACGAGCACCCTGACCTTTTCCAAACTAGTCACACCGTGTGTGTCTGGGGCCCCTTGTGAGCTCCCGAGTGCCGTCCTAAGAGAACAGAGCACAGGAGCTCACCTGCCACGCACACGTGGCCCTGTGACCTGTGAGCAAGAGGCCGTGGTGGCCAGGGACTGCCTGCCTGGAGGTGGGCCACCAGGAGGGCGGGGCAGGGGAGAGAAACCTGGCCTTGGCATCTGCCCGGTGGCAACGGCTTAGGCACCTCAGCGGGAGCCAAGATGCTTGCCCCGAGCAAGAGCCCATTGTCCCTTCTGTGGGCCGGGGAGGGGACACCTCTGAGGATGGCAGCGACTCCAGGGCAGATAGCAGGGAACTGGGTCCAACCCATTTGTCGGAGCAGGTGTTTGGTTAAAAGGACAAATAGGATTTTGTGTATGGCAAATGCAGTGTGACGTGGCAAAAGGTTTTGCAACTTTTAAGTATTTTTGTCCAATTTTTAGACCTAGGGGATGGGGATCTTTTATTTTCTTCTACTTTTTTCCCCTTTTATTTTGAGTTTACTTTCAACCTCATATCCCCGCTCTATGCTGTGATCATAAAAAATTGGCAACAGCTAAATACTCCACAGCAGAGGATTCAGTGACGCCCAGCACATCCGTGTGATGGCGTCCAGGAGGCTCCAGTGAAAGCCATCACAGAAAGGCATCTACTCCCATGGGAGATCTCAGTGACTAAAATTGGTTTTCTCTTTTGTGGCCTTGCGTTTCTTAAAATTGTTTGTACTAACACTGAATACACTTACACCTGACTTATAACGTATGTGTAAGGTGTAAACCACAGCTATACAACAAGCACCCAAGTACCTGCCCACCCAGCCAACCTAAAGGCAGGACCTCCTGGGGCCTCGGAACACTTCCCTCGCCCAGGGGCCTTTTCCTGCTTCAGTCTCCTTTCTGTCTGCCTGCACCCCATAACCACTTGCCGATTTATTTACTGTGTCTTTAAAATGCTGGCACGTGTATTTGATTCCTCAACGTATTGTCTGGGTTACATTTTTTAAAACATTTTTATAAATAGAACCGTAACTAGATATTTTCTTCTGTGACTTGCTCTTCTCCTACAGTGTGTTCCTGAGATTCATCTGTGTCAATGTGTGTTGCTGTCATTCATTTATTTGTAGTGATATTTTTTTTATTAATTCTGCTGGCAGTGATCCCAGGGATGATTTCCTGCTTTTTGCTATTTTGAACAGTGCTGCTGTGACCGTTCTTATAACTCTCTTCTGGTGCAGGGAGATGCATTTTTTTCCAATTCATCACTTTGACCAAATTGATACCAAGATGGATTTGTTTTTGATGAAATTGCTTCTCCTCAAATTTCCTGGAACCCCGTGGCAGTTGCTAGGTTGGGGGGCCTGGGGCTGGGGGCGGATTTGAAGGGACAGGGAAACACCCTGACCTTGAGCTGGTGGTCTCCCCAGCAAAGGGAGCTGGGATCGTGTTCTGGGGACACAGCCATGGGAAGGTCTTAGGGGTCCCGGCATCCCGACTACTCCTCCTGGTGCTTCCACTTGTCAATTCCTGCCGTGCCCTCACGACCCACACCGGCCCGCTGCTGTCCCTTCCAGAGGCATACGCCCATTCCTGCAGGATTTGTCTCCTCTCGGCTCCAAGCAAAGTTTTATTTTGATGCCAGGATAGTGATTGAGAGCAGGGGCTCTGGTGCCTTAGCCTGTCGTTTACTCGCTGTGGGCTTTCCCTCTCTCAGCCTCAGGGCCCTCATTTGTGTAATGGGGACACTTCCAGAACCTGCCTCAAGGGGTGCTGTGAAGACTGGAAGGGCATGTTGATGTTAAGCGCCTGGTACACAGTGGCCACTTAACAAACAGTGGCCATTATTCCTGCCAGGCCCTCTTCCCCACCTGACCTGCTCATTCACAGACTAACTGGGAAGGACCTGATCCCTTCCCTTAGGGGCGGGGCACCCCCTGTCCCCTTCCAAAAGGTTGGAACTTTGACAAGAGGTGAGCTTTCTCTTCTAGGTACCTGCAAACCTTATGTCATTTGAATAAGTCTCTGCAGGACTTGGCGTGACTTCAGAGGCTTCTGGGAGCCCAGCCTGGGACTGGTGGCGAAGTGCATGTCCTGGGCACGGGCTTTTGGCCAGGGTGCTGGGTGACTCACAGCCGGACTCACGGGGACTCGGCCTGCGGCCTCACGGTCCAGCGGGCTCTGCCAGTGCAGCGTCCACCTACACCAATCCCCAGCGACTCTCATGACACTCATTCTTCAGCGCCACCCCGCAGGGCCGTGGCTGGGCCCCGGACTGTGCACCCCACCCTCCCTCTCTGGGCCCTTGTCCGTCCACCAACTGCTGCTTCGATCAGAGAGCATCCGGCCCACGTTGGGTCCCCCGTGCTTCCTCCCGGACAAGAGTGGACAGAGTTCACCTGCATGAGGGGCCAGAGAGAAGGAACAGACTATGGAGTTGGCTTTTTATACCCCAAGTGCACGGGGTCGCTCGCCCACAGGGCTGCCTCAGATTTTGTACAACCCCCCCAAGCGTCCTCTGCGTGTGTGTGCCGTGTACGTGTGCGAGTGAGTGTGAACTCTTCAAGAAACATGCATTTTGGCACAAGACGTGTGACATCACACCCTTCATTCGCTTTGAGGCCCTGCTTTCACCTTACGTGATAGCCTTGTCCACCGAGGAAGGTCAGAGTGAGAGCCCAGATTCCTATGTTAAGGGTCCCTTGCATTCTTTTACTGTAAACAAACAATGCCTTAAATTGTGTCTTGTTTTCTGTTCCTATGGGTGCTATTCATCTGGAAGGCCTGCTGTCTGGGCCCCCGGGTCCCCTCCCGGCCTTGTTGCTGTTGGCTCTTCTGAGACAGGACCCGGCTTTAGGACTGTGGACTGGGCTGGCCTGCTCGCTTCCTCCCACCCCTCTCCTGCAGGGTCTGAAAGCCCTTGTCTTCTCACCCCTGGACCATGCCAGAGGGGGAAATTGTGACACTTTCTCCCAGCTTCCTCAGAAGCACTCGGAGGCTGCCATGCTCACAGAGAACGGCTGCGCAGAAGCCCCTGTGCACCAGCCTCTCCCCGCAGGCCAAGGCTTTGCTCCCATCATCTACTGCCAGGGCGGGGCCCGCTGGGATTCCTGGTTACACTGGGGAGCTGAGTGACACTGAGGCCTTAAGCTCCCCCCAATCTTGCCCCCAAACGCAGTCACCAGCAAGTTCTCCACATCCAAGTCCAAGGGCACAATTGTCGATGATTATGGTGACCAGAGAGCAAAGCCCTGGGGAGTGAATGGTCCCAGCTTTGCATTCAGTTAAGAGCTCTTCACATGAACAATGTCCTTTTATCTGTCACTGTTTGTCTTTTTAGTGACTTTTGTTTTGCACAAATGCATTTTTATTCAAAATAATGAATAAAAGTTAGCTTTATTTACGGTAGCTTTATCACCAGAGCTTCTCTCTCCCCTTCCCTAATCTGGGTGTCCAAATTCTGAGAAGGAAACCCTGAAATGGTTTTCTGAATTCCCTGGGTCCTCGTTGCTATCATGGTTTCCGAGCTCACACTGACCAGACATCAAACCACCCTTAAGAGTTTCTGGGCGAGATGCTTCAAAACAACATCTTACCCAGTAAACAGTGTTGGTAAATTTAAAAACTACCAAAGGACCCACCACTGTCTTTTGACCAAAGGGTGACAACTTTTCTGAAAATTCTAATGAATCGGTGAGGAAAGTAGTTGCCATCAGCGTCTTATTTTACGGTTGAGCCTTAGTGTGCTCAGTAACTAGCCCTTCTTTGGAGCAAAGTCTTGAATACTTCTGTGCCGGGAGAGACTCCAGATGGTAAATTGGTGCCGTCCAACCTTAGCTGTGAGCGCTCCGCCCACCGGCACACAGACGGGGTCCGGATGCGCACACCTAATTCATACCAATGACTACTCAGATTAGCATCTAGAGGCTGAAAGAAAACACCAAACACTCCAACACCTCTCACTAGAACCATTCAGGTCAACGCTTTAACCTACATTGAATCTGCTTCTACCGGTTAATATTTTTTAAGTCTTAAGTTTGGATGGAAGCGTTAAGACTGGAAAATCAGCCACGGACTTTCCTTGGGTTTCTCCCCTCTTCAACTGTCCTGGCTCTTCTCACATGAAATGCTACAGATGTCAATCCAAAACACTCAGAATTTCAGGCTCCACTAAGTCAGATCATTTTCTGCGCTTTATAAAATTTCTTCCTCTCTCACAAATGTTTCCTTCTGAGCTGAATTTGAAATAGCACAATTGTAATTGTTTTCCAAATGTCTTCTCACCCATTGAGACGGATCCCACATCCCCTCCTAGAAACACTCTTAGCTTGGATTCTTGAAGAATCTGCTTAGACCTTGTTGGCAAAGGCCTTCAGAACTGGTGAGAACCTTGAACATACCAGAAAAGTCCTGGAGACAGGCTGAAAGGTGCCTGGGCTCTCCCAGCAGGGGCACGGGGCCAAACACGTAAGTGCAGATTGTCTTCTCAGCATTGGTTTGTCTCTCAAGCAGCAGGTGAGAAGGTCCTCAGGCTGGGACAGAAGAGACCAGGCACAAACCCCAAAAGGAAGAAATCCATGGGTGGATTCTCACCCTGGAGGGAAATGTTTCTAGTTTTTGCTTCTTGACTGTCCATAATGCACAAATGTTTGTGAAACCATTGAAGGTGATATGTCTTACATGCATGTGCTGAGGTGGTTTTTTTTGTTTTGTTTTTTTTTTGAGCAAATAGATCATGGCACCCCAGAATGAAAATTGCAGAATGCTTTCTACAAATTGTGGAATAGGTAGTTGGTAGCATTACAATGCCCCAAGAACAGCTCATCTACCTCTCCCTGGGAATAATTTTCGCCCCTCTCGGTTGGAATGTGTCTTATAACTCAAGGTCAGCCAAGTGCATTCTAACAACTGAAATGCTTCATGGAGGATTGATTCGGTGGAGAGCAGTAGACATAATATTCTGAGTGTGCCCAGTGAGAGAGTGTGGCCTCCCTTTCTTTCCCTGAAGAAGCCCATACACCACCCATTTGTGGAACCTAAAGCGGAAGATACTTGAAGGCATTCTGTTTAGGAAAGAACCCACTCTCTTGCCAACTGAATTTATAAAGCATTATTTTCCTTACCAAGATGGCCAGTATTTCTTTCATTATCTTCCTCTCCCGCCTCCCAAGCCCAAGATGTGTATCTTTCAGGATGCCATTTTACAGGTGGAAAACAATCCATGAAAATGGGAAGCCTTTCGCAAGGGAGGCCTGATTTCATTCCACAGGTGGGGTCTACAGCTCTACACCCACATTACTGATGCTCATAACCAGGTGAACATTGCTAAAAACACAATCTAACTTATCTTGTGTGACTTCATAAATGACTTCAATCAGCCCCACATCGTACTGACATGTTGGGTGATTTCATATATTAAAAAAAAAAAAAAAATACAAGAATCTCTTTGAAATAACATTCTCTGCACAAAACCATTCATTCGTTCATTCATTCATTCACTCACACCTCTAGTGAGTGCTTCCTGTGTGCCAGGCTCTACCAGGGATATACTGTAAATGGCTGAGAACAAGCAGACCCAATCCTTGCCCTCGCGGAGCTGACCACTCAACGAACAAATAATCCTCAACATGGCATCTCCTCTGGCAAGACCCTGCCTCTCTCCTAACACTGGGTTAAACACCCTGCGCAGATTCCTCCAGAAAGGTTTCCAAATGCTCAACGGACTGGACAGCCTCTTGCTCTGCGAGTTCAGTTGCAACGAGAACTAGATGGAGTCGTCGTCCTAGAGGCTGGTTGGCGCAGAACACCCAGGCACAGGGCTACGGTTGGGCATGCCGAGGACTCTTGAGGTGGAATGAGAGAGAAGGGTCGGAATATTCACAGTATTTACTTCAGAGGCTTTTTGGTTTTAAATTTCACGGTTAGGTGCAAGTACAGCATGAGCGAGAGCTGCATTTTTTGGGCGTTGAGAACTTGTACCACGGACCACGTTGGAGTCCCGTGTTGCACAAGTGTGTGTATACCGTGTGCAGCCCCCAAATCCCTTTTTGCAGCAGCAACGTGATGGGTCATCTGTCTGTTCTCTAATCATTGATCTCTTTTTTTTCATTTCTGAACGACTGTGACCATTCAGTAATGAAATATTAGTAATTAATTTATTAGTATGGTATGATCTTTAATAAATTTCGTGCCAAAATGCATGGTTTTTCAATTAGCATTCAAAATGTTGCGTAGAGAGTAGTTTTCAATTTCTTATGTATCCTGCAAAGTAAGTTGAAAATCAGTTTCTACATTTTAATTCGTTTCTTGTTAAATCTGTTGCACTCTCCTGGGCTGTCTTTTTTCTTTTCTTTCCCCCCAGCGGAACCCCTGCATGCAGTTGTGTAAGGACTTTCTCTAATTCTTGTGAATTGTCTCACCCGCAATAACCACTGAACATCAGCCCCCTGTGGGATTCTTTAGATTTCTGGTGAAGTATTTTGTTACCTCAGTCTTGTATCAAGTTGCTGTATTTTTCAGCTTGTTACACTGATAATAATTGTTTCACTAATTAAATACTTTAATGTACAAACATCTTTGTTTACTTTGAAATTAAATGTGTTTTCCAATGAACACTGCTCAATTTATTAATCACGCGCATTCACTTAGCAAACCATTGCTGTTGCCAGATACAGACACGAAGGAGGTCTGGGGCACTCAGAGCCCTGCTCAGAGGTTACTAGAACGTGAATAACATATGGGAGCAGTGCCCTCAGGAAAGGGCAGAGTCAGTGCTTTGGGCACACAGAGAGAGGAAGGTGGAGGATCTGGGGAGGGGACAGGGGCATTTGGGGATTCATTTCAGAGATTGCTGAACACATGGAGGACGGGGGAGGCAGGAAGACAGAAAGGAGAAGGAGCAGGAGCAGGATGAAGTTGGGAAAAGCAGCCAACCCAGTCTCACTGAGCGAAGGATTTTGGGGAGGTAATGGGATCCAGGTCTGAAAAGATACATAAGGGGGAGTTTAGGATATTAGGCAAA